GTCAAAGCGCGTCTCTCTCGGGACGCGTGGGAAGAGAGACACCTCCCCGCGACGTTGCACAATGCACGCACTCTTCGCGGAGCGAATCCTTTGAGGATTCTCTCGAGGATCTGCATAATTCACGGATGAATAATTACGTATTCAAAAAGATCAATAGATCGCCCCCGTTATTCAAGGGAAGAGGATATTCCATTGGTTATTCACCGGAAGTTACATGCGAGATCTTTCCTCGGGGATGTACGTCTTGAGACCTCAAAGAACAAAAGTCCAGAATCGAAATACAGCACTCGTTTACTATAAACACAACTCGTTTGCTATACAACTTAAAACACAAAATTTCCCAAAAATGAGTTTTAATGTTTTGTCATTAAAATTTTGTCATGTTAATTTGAAATGCAATTTTTTGGTACGATGATTGTAGAGGAGTAAATATTTTGTTTAAAATACGTTCTTTTCTGTCTTTATTTTGTTTTCCACTGTAAAAAATATTGGTATGTATTCAATACTTATATAGAATCTATATAATTCTCATTATACCGCTTAATGTTAACATCAATAAATTGGTGTGAATTTTAAACCTCTGATGTTTATATCAATACCATCATGGTATGGATTTAAAACCCATGGTGTTAAATCCATAATTCTGCACCATGGTGTTAATATTAACAGCAACACAATAAGAATTATATAGACATATATTATATATACCGCATGCGGTATTTATATAATTGTGAATTTAACAATAGCGATGTAAATTTAACGTTTAATATTATGTTAAATGTTAAATTCACATCGCTATTTTTCAGAGTGTTCTTTTTTTATTGTCATTGTTTTTCTGCAAGTAACTAAAAAATGATAATTGTATTGTTGTAGCAAATGACCGATAAGACATCTTAAAGATGTCTTATATCCCGATTTTAGACTTTATGTTGTCCGGGATGTTCTTTCTTCCTCCCTGTTGCCGTCACGTTGCAGACACATACGTTTGCATAAACGTGAGAAACATTGGTATAACGTTGCACAACGTCAGAGGGTCGCTGAGGGTCTATTAACGTTATAGGGTATCCATTAACGTTAACACGCGGACATTTACAATATAATACTGCAAATTGCAACTCGTAGCGGATAAATGTAATTTCTGCACGTTCGCGTAATCATCGCGTAATTTATAGTTTATCTTCCTCTTGATTGAAATAATTTTAAGACACTAGCGGCAGTGGTGATTAGCAACCATTGGAAGGGAAAATTTCTTGCGCGAGCCTTATTAATTTATTCAAATACCTACTGATATCGAATATTAAAAAAAAAAAAAAAACAACGATAGGTTAGATCATTCCTCAAGAATTTATCGTAAGTATATTGAAAACTTCAAGTTAAAGCAGACATTTCTTGTCTAAAATATAGCCAGGTGATCGTAAGAATGCGCTTTCTACACTCGTAGAAGTTTCTGGCCCCCGCGAATGTCTTATTTATTATCATTATTTATAATATAACAGGATCGCGCGACTCCTACGTTCCCACGATACAACTCCCCGTCCATCGACTGCGTGCCGTGTGATTTCGAACTTTACCGCGGTAAGAAACGATATATCACTCGTCACAGATGATTTCTCTAATCGTCGTGGACATCGCGACGATGACAGCCGTGACAGGTCCCCACGTGGGCGTTAATATCGGCATAAAACTTTGTGTGGCAAAGTATCGAACGCGACGTGACGCCGCGCCGTGCCGGACCGTAACAGATTTATGCGTGTCACGTGTTGCCGAAGAGAAACGGCAAGGATTTAAAAGGAACTCAATTTAATGTGACGAGTAACACGTGTAAAAATTGCCGTTATATTGTATAATTATACACTGGGGGAAAGTTACTAAAATACGTTAAGACGTTTTTTTTTTTTTTTTTTAATAGTACTAAGTAAACATTTAACTTACAGTAAGTGAACATTAGCCCAATAATAAATTATAATTAAATTAAATTAAAAGAACTAAAGATGTTCAACAAGCAGTGTGTGACTATTATTAATAGCACAATTGATCATATTTGCACGGTTAAAATAATTACAAGTGAATAACTGTTTCAAAGAATGACTATAAATTATGCTAATCGCAATCTTTTTTTTTTTTCTTCCAGTGCATATTTTTAAAGAGCTTACCCTAGAACGGTAATAAATGCTTTATCCATCGCTTTCTTTCGACGTGATTAATATTTCAAGACGCGTTCTCCGGTGGCCGCGACATTAGCATACAATACGAGAGATCGATAGCGATTAGGAATAACTCCACTTCTGCCTGCCCTGCGGCTGGCGAGGACATTCGCGTCGCATTCACGGAAATCAATTCGGCGATTTGTAATAATTGAAAAAAAATTGAGATCGTCGAAAAGGAGTTCTGCACGCCCCGCCGTTTCCCGGAGATTCTCGTGACTCACTCGCTCACATCGCGGCGCAATTCTTGGTCCGCGTTCGTCCGCGGCGCGGTGATCTAAAAATTTGTTTTCGCGCGCCAATCCCGCGACCGGAACCGGGCCGGGCGAACGGTTAAGCGATTCTTAAGCGGTTAAGTGACTGTAAAAAGGTACTGCGGAGGCGTCAAGTCGCGACGCGCCTCTTCGCGGATCGCACGATGATTCATCGTCGTCTCCTGCTCGCTTCGACGGCGCCACTTCCGGCTACCACTGCATGCCGCTCGTTGCACCGACGACGACGACGGCGCAGTTTTGCAGCTTGGTGCAGCGACCGAGATACGTTTCGTCTCGCGGAGATTCCGCATGATAACGTAACGATTAGATCACGCGCATACACACACACACACACATACAGCCAAGAGCAATAATTTAATTTGATGCACACAAAGAAGTGAATTCCACACGATTTAACATGTAATTATAATTCGTAATGTTAGATCGAGAATAATCAATTAAGAGAAATAATGAAGAATGAATGATTGACCAATTAATCGCGTTGATTAATCTCAGATTTCGGAGCGATTTCTAGCATCGTGGACACAAGATTTTACGCTGGGATCTAATTTGGAAAACACTTTTTAAAAATTGACATTTGTGAAATTACTTACTGAAATATTTCTGGCAATCTGTGTTTTTTCTTTTAACAATAATTCTTCAGCTGCAACAACAATTATTGGATTTAAAGAATTATTGTTAAAAAATACATGAATATTTAAATAATCTCAAATACGTGTCAATTTTTAGAAAGTGTCTCCTTATGATACCTTTAGTACAGTTATAAGGAATAAAAAGTTCGATATGATAAAATTTTTTAATATATTTTCTCTTCGACAAAATCACGTTTATCGATGTAATCTAATTACATCTAACTCTGGATGAGTGCATACAGATGATCCTAAATTTATTCATTTATTTATCGAGCCAGATCTCTTTTCCCAGAATCGCCAAATTAAATTACTGACTTAATTAGTATATTTATTTCTATGCAAAGAATAACGGTTTTTAGTTGCATAAACGACGTTTAATTTAAAAACGACGTTTAATTATAATAATAATAATACAACAACATTCGCATATGCAGAATTATAAATTGGAGTTCTTAATAATAAGAGTATCGCCCTTCATAAGATAGATAGTTTCCTACTGTAGAATCGGGACTCTGAACCCGACGGACAAGAGTTCTCACACCCTCCAGTGGTCCATTATCCTCCGTCTGCTGAGCCGCGCCAGTGGTCGCGGCCTCAACGAGCTAATTTTGCGAGCGCCGGCTCGTCGTTGTCTGGTCTTTCTCATCGCGGTGGCGGGGAGGGAAAAGGGCGCTCGCTCACTCGCTCGCTCGCTGGTTGTTTCATCGCCGTCGCCGTGAAACAGTAGCCTCGAATGGGTTCGAGGAAGACGACCGAGAAACCGGGAGGAGAGCGCGGTAACGGGGTAGGATCGGGGTAAGACGAGAGATGCGACTAAGAAAAACCACGAAGGGTGGGACGGTGAGAAAAGAGATAGGGTGAGTGAGATTTCAGAAGAGGGACGGGAGAAGGCAAGAAAAGGGCTGTTACGTCACCGGGTCGAGAGAGAAAGAGAGAAGAGCGCCGTTGGCGCTCGGAGGATATGACCCCAGAAAATTAGATAATTTCGATGTCACGTCCGCGAAGTAATTATCGCTCTTGAGGTTCGACCTCGCCTTCGACGTAACCAGGGAATCAATTAAATGGACCGAAAGTTCAGGCGACCTCGTCAAGCGCCTCTTGAAAGAGAGTCGCCGAGATCTTGGGTGGTTCAATCGCGATGAAAAATCACAATGAGGTTCTTATTTATATTATTTAGCATCTTTGAATTCCGCGAGGAAACTTTTGTAACTTTTTCTCGTCGAGCAAGAGTCTTTTAGAGAGATAAACTTAAATGTTAATTCTGAAAGATTATGACGTTATTCCGAGCATTTTATTTGCGTTTATGTGTTTTATTTTGTGTCGTAACATTTCAAAAATTTTAATAAACTACGGAAACCTTATTTTGCTGAAGTATCTAAAAATTTTGCTAAATACAGGTTTGAAAATGATTTCATTGGTCTATCAAAATAATTATATATACAAAAATCTCAATCGTGATGAGTAATGCTGCAAAAAGTTTTGACATTCCATCAGCAACCATCCAGTTTGAGGCCTTTATAATTATTTTGATAGTTATAAAAAAAATTATAAAAAAATTGTTATTTTATGAACACGGATGTATATTGTATTAATTTTCAACTAATATTTTTTGTGTCATTCGTATTTAAAAAGATCATCGTCAGCATTTTGTACGCAGCGTTCGTAATAAGAATAAGACGGCGAACGAGCGCAGAGAGACACATTTATAAATTTCTATCCGTAAAAGTTCCAAGAAGCAAGAACGCGCTTCCGGTAGTTACTCTTTATTCGCGCCGTATATGTGCGTTGTAATTGTCCCGCCGCTATTATACACGCAACGTTACATAAGCGACCGTTTCTGAGCCGATGATGAGGCTTTAAGGAAGCCATTATGGCTATTTTGTTTCCAGGCGAACGTGAGCCAGGCCGAGTACGAGAGAGCGCACAGAGAGTACCTGAAACAAGTGCAGCTGTCGCACGATGGACAGAAATTTAGAACGCGACGGGACCTCCATGTATTCCAGGCTGCTGGTAAGATCATCTTAACTCTCCTACCGTGTACAAACTAGAAGTCGGATTCGTAGCAACTTTCGCGGAAGCGAAGATTATTTATGCGACGCATATATTCCTATTTTCTACGAACTTACCCATTCTAGAATGAATAAATAATTAATGTAACGTTAATTTATTATAAATATTAATTTTATGAAGAAATATGCTTCCAAAAATTCCTTTCCAAATGTTATTTTTTGTGTTATTTTTTTTCTTTTGTAATGTTTGTGTTACTTTTTAATGTATTCAGCTTGTGTTGAATTAATACAAAAATTTCAATGGATTGTTCGAGATATCCACTTAGGAAGCAGATGTCATTGTCGTTATTTTCACGTCAAAATATTCTCATAAATGTTATTTTGACGTCAGGAATGATGACGAATAATGTTAACTTGCTACTTGGGAACGTTTGTAATAATAATAATGGTTCTAATAACAGTTGGAAAATTTGTGTTGTATTCACTTCATACATTTGTTATATCCCATGGTTCGCCCAAGTTTTTGTGTTAATTTATTACAAGATGAATATGTTAAAAAGTAACACAATAAATGTAACACTTTTGCACAATTCGGAAGCAAATTTTTAGAAGTATTGTATAAATTTTTTCAATAAAATTAACATATTATTTTTTAAAACTATATTATTATTTATGTTTGTTCGTTTACTTAAGTTATGTCAATGCTAATTATAAGAGATGTTAAATATTAATTTTATACAAAATATTTAAATAATATAATCACATTTATATTAAATTAATACTTGAGTATATAAAGAGTTTAACATAAAAATTTAACGAGGACCAATTTTAACACAAGTACAAAATGTTTTTAACTTATAAATGTTATCGCTTATTTATTGAATAATTGCTGCGATTATTTAACAAATCAAACAAATGTAAAAATACGCGACAAGGAGTGATTCTCTAGCGATTATAAATCACGAAGAATTATTGCGAAGAACTGCGCGAGGATTGTTTCTTTACAATCGCACGATCTCTCCGAGATATGTGTTTTATAAGAAAAAAAAAAAACAATCGAGTAAGATATGCAATCGCTGATCTAATCGATCCAATTTTAATTTTAGAATTAAATTATTCTCAAAGTCTTAGTTGGAATTCCGCTTCTTCCACGAATTAGGTTCGCGCTGAGATGCGCCGGTTTTGCGTACGAGTGAAAAACCTTCTCCGCGCGCACATATTCGCGGTACGTATCCAACAAAAACAAATGCGGAAAACGGGGTTGCAGACGGCGGGGAGCGGGACAGTGGAGGAAGGTGTAACGATGCAGTTTTCCACCGCGGCCTGTCGATACGTCATCGCGACTCGGCGGAGCGCATTCAAGTCTCGGCGCGGCGTTTCGGTTTCACGATTCACGACGTCGGCCTCTCGACGATCGATACGAAGGATGGGCAATAAAAGTCGCGTCTCGAGAAAGAAAAACGGCCATGCAGAAACGGGACATCTTGCCGCGATGCGAGAGAGCTGTAACGAGAGGCGCCACGGCGCGCCGATGTTATTTACTTTTCCCGTGTCGACGAACTCGTTACGAGAAATTTTTCCGCGAGCCTCGTCTCGTTTCGCATTCGTCGCGCCTGGCCGTGCCGTCGCGTTTGCAAAGAGGTACGATTTCGCGAAAACGAGTAGAGTATTCCGCGCAACACTCGACATCTTTAGACGTTCGAAGTATGTCCTGAAGAGTCCCGTTTATGTTAGATATATAATACGCTCCAACCCCATGGAACGGCATAAAAGTCAATAAAAAATCAAAATGACTTTCTTTTTATCCTTAACGTTAATAAATAGTCAAATATTTTGTAGTACAAAATT